AACTGGCACTTTAACTGTTTCCCTCTTACTATTTTCTACTTGTTAGCATACTGGCTGACATATAGTAGGCACTCAAATATATTTGAATAAATTAACAGGGGTACAAAAATGAAACAATATCATGCACATTTTTGTCAAGGGAATGAGAAAGAGTCAATATCCCATGAAATGTTCATGGTAATTAACTATAACATCAAGGGTCAAATCAGACTAAGCAGCATGTATTAGTCAGTAGTGGAACAATTAGTTCAATTATATGGTTTTCTCCAGTCATCCTCAGCACCCAGAAATCATAAACAGAAATCTAGGACTGATGATAACCAAGGGCAAAGGAATGGAAATGCTAATGGAATCTAGAGTGCTAAGAAAAGACAATGCCAAAAAAAGAGAGAGAGAGAGAAACAGAGAAGGGAAGAGCACCACACAAACCTTTTTTTTTTTTTTAACTAAATACCAAGTGATAGACTCACTACATATAAAAACTGAACCTATATGTCATAAGGACACAGATAAAGAGGAAAAGAGCTAAGCATAAATCCATCTAAGGCACCAAATCTTAAGATTTCATGAAAACTTGAAGTTTCATTTTTTCAAAAGCTTTTTTTTTTTTTCCCAGTGAGGCATTTTATTTGCACATGGGTATTACAACCCTAGAAAAAGAATCCCAGGATTTTCCCTCCTGTGTGTTTTCATGTTGCTTCTTCATGGTCCATGATGCCAGCTGAGGTTGTCAGTACAATGAAACCAAACTGGCAGGGACTGGAACAAATTATTCTGCCATTTTTCTAGATCTCTGAGTTGTACATCAAATCTGGGGCTGATCACTCCACCTCTGTTTAACCTCCTGTGAGGATCAAAACAATTTTCCCAGCTCCCTGATCATTAGTGATTTCAAATTGACCAATTTAATCATGCTCTATCATCACCATGAGAAACGATGACTCTGGAGCGTGACCTAAAAAGAACCTGGCAGAGGCACCTGAGTGGCTCAGCAAGTTAAACCTCTGCCTTTTGCTCAGGTCATGATCTCAGGGTCTTGGGACTGAGTCCCACATCTGGCTCTCTGCTCAGCGGGGAGCCTGCTTCCACCCCACCCTGCCTGCCTCTCTGCCTACTAATGTTGTCTGTCAAATAAATAAATAAAATCTTAAAAAATAAAAATAAAATTAAAAGAGACTGGCATTTGCCTCTCTTTTCAGCATTGTTAATGCTCTTGTGTGCATCTGCCAGGACATTCACACCCACCATTACAGCCACATAGAAAGACGGAAGAAAAGAGGTAAGCATAAATTAATCTAAGGCACCAAAACCTTAAGAGTTCGTAAAAACTTGGAAGTTTAGTTTTTCTCAAAAGTTTTTTAAATGTTTTCAGAAGTGAACAAGCAGAAGACACAAGAGAATGTAGAATTCCTGCAGTCTCATGCCAAATCTAAACTACTGAAAAATTCACTTTACTTTGTTTCGAAGGAGATTTCTTCCCACACATTTTCCCCTAGTTATTCCCGCCGTCAACATTTTAAATGCTCTCAAGTGCTAATGTCAGCAGCAGTTCTTATTAAGACACATTCCTGACTTAAAAGGAACCTTTCCAGATATCAGATAAAGCTTGAGAGGCCTAAGACTCTCACATTATGGTCCTAAAACACCTCACCTTCTTGCTATTAGAAACATTCTGTTTGGGGCGCCCAGATGGCTCAGTTGATTAAGCGACTGCCTCCGGCTCAGGTCATGATCCTAGAGTCCCGGGACTCCCGAATCGGGCTCCCTGCTTGACACGGAGTCTGCTTCTCCTGCTGACGTTTCTCCACTTACGTGCTCTCAATCTCTCTCATTCTCTCTCTCTCAAATAAATAAATAAAATCTTAAAAAAAAAAAAATTCTGGTTTAGTAAGTTTTTTTTGTAAAGACCTATTTATCTGAGAGGGAGAAAGAGTATGTGCATGTACACACAAGGGGGAAGGGAAGAGGGAGAGAGAAACCCAAGGAGACTCCAAACTGAGCAGGGAGCACAAAACAGGCTACATCTCACAACCCTGAGATCAGACCTGAGTGGCAACCAAGAGTAGGATGCATAAGTCACTGTGCCATCCAGGCGCTCCAAATTTAATGATCTTTACAGACTATATTCAAAGCAGATAACTTTCTCAAACACGTTGCTAACAATAAGCTACAGATTTGTGTAGCATTTTAAGTTTCTAAAGCATTTTAACATCTACTTTCTTCATTTTTAACTCATATGAAATCTATAAAACAATCAAGGCAACCATTAATATTCTTTCACAGTAAGAAAACTAAAACCCAAGTTGCCCACGGATTATAAAACACATAGCTAAAAAGTGGCAATGAAGCATAATCACCTCCAAATTTTTTCTCTCCTACTCCTTTATCCTCAACAACTTACCTCCTTCCTATCCATCTTAAAGGAAGGAGTACCTGTGCTTTCTGAAAATAGTCCCCACCCAGACCCTTAACCCTACATCCCCCAACTGCCTGCAGAATCTTCAAGTAACTTCTTTTCCCCCACCCACAATATCTGTCTTTCCTCTACCATTTCCACGTTCTATGAATATGCTCAACTCTTCCCCTCCTAAAAAACAAAACACACACACACCACACACACACACACCTTTGATTCTACCCCTCCCAGAAGGTGTAACCCACTCTCTTTCCATCCTTTCCCTGCTTAAACTTTTTTTTTTTAGACTTTATTTATTTATTTGACAGAAAAAGATCACAAGTAGGTAGAGAGGCAGGCAGAGAGAGGAGGAAGCAGGCTCCCCGCTGAGCATAGAGCCCGATGCGGGGCTCGATCCCAGGACCCTGAGATCATGACCTGAGCCGAAGGCAGAGCCACCCAGGCGCCCCCCCGCCCCGCTTAAACTCTTAAGAGTCTACAACTATAGGCACTTGTACTACACTTTCCTCTCTCCACTAAAATATTCCTTATTAAAACATTCTCCACTAAAACACCAGTGAATTTCTAGTGGCCAAACCCAACCACTCTTCAGTTCTTATCATTAGGTGTTCCATCTTTGTGCTAAGATAACTGATACTACTGATCACTCTACCCTTCCTAAAACTTCTGTCTCCCATGGGCTCTATGTCCCTCTCTCCTTATTTTCCTACCACTGACTTCCTTTTTAACCTCTTTTATTTAACTCATCCTTTGCAGATTATCTACCTACACATTTCTGCAGAGGTTTCCTCTCCCTGCCTTTTCTCTGGCTAAACACTTTTCCTGAACAATCTCTTCCACACCCATGCCCTCAGTTACTAACCATATGGCTATGATTTCCTAAACTCTATGGTCTCAACACACCCTTTCATTTTTGTTAGGAGGAAGCTAAAACAAAACAAAAGTGAGTATTTATCAAATCTCTGAGCAGGAAGGAGAAAATAGAACCATTTTCTAAGCTTAGAAACAAAGAAAACACATGACTTAATAGAAATTTTAAGTTTTGTAAACTAAGATGAACACAGGAAATAAAGAAAATATACATATATTAATTACATACATATCCACAAATATATCCTGACAAATAAATGGAAAAAATAAGAAAATTTAGAAAGAAAGCTATTTTTAAAAGCCATTAAAAATGTTCAACATTGGGGCGCCTGGGTGGCTCAGTGGGTTAAGCCTCTGCCTTCAGTTCAGATCATGATCCCAGCATCCTGGGATCAAGCCCTACATAGGACTCTCTGCTCAGCAGGGAGCCTGCTGCCTCCTCTCTCTCTCTCTGCCTGCCTCTCTGCCTACTTGTGATCTCTGTCAAATAAATAAATAAAATCTTTTTTAAAAAATGTTCAATATTACTAGCAATTAAAGAAGTTCACTTTAGGTCTGGTAATTTTTTTTTAATTTCTTATTTATTTATTTATTTATTTAACAGAGAGAGACAGACAGACACACACACACAGAGACAGAGAGACAGAAACAGAGAAACAGAGAGACAGAGAGATAGAGATATCACAAGTAGGGATAGAGGAAGGCAGAGGGAGGGGGGAAGCAGGCAGAGAGCCCAATGCAGGGCTTGATCCCAGGACCCTGAGTTCATGACCTGAGCCGAAGGAAGAGGCTTAACCCACTGAACCATCCAGGCGGTCCCAGGTCTGGTAATTATTTTTTTAATAACGAGGGAATCCATATAACTTTCATTAAATTTTACAACTGTCCTTGAACTCCCCAAATCAAGAATTACTACTATTCTAGGGGCACCTGGGTGGCTTTGTTGGTTAAGCATCACTTTTTTTTTTTTTTAAGATTTAATTTATTTATTTGACAGACAGAGAGACACACACACAGAGAGAGGGAACACAAGCAGGGGGAGTGAGAGTGGGAGAAGCAGACTCCCTGCTGAGCAGGGAGCCCAATGAGGGGCTAGATCCCATGACCCTGGGATCATTACCTGAGCTGAAAGCAGACACTCAACAACTGAGCCACCCAGGCGCCCCATGAGCATCAGATTCTTGATTTCGGCTCAGGTCATGATCTGGGGAGGGGGTGAGCCCCATACCCTGTATCTGGCTCTGAGCTCAGTGTAGAGTCTACCTGAAGATTCTCTCCCTCTGCTCCTCCCCATACTCAAGGGCATGTGTGTTCTCCCTCTTTTTAATAAATAAAATCTGTAAAGAAAAAAAAAAGAATTACTATTCTAGACACATTTTTTTTTCTTTTTTTAAAAGATTTTTATTTATTTATTTGACAGACAGAGATCACAAGTAGGCAGAGAGGCAGGCAGAGAGAGAGGAAGGGAAGCGGGCTCCCTATTGAGCAGAGAGCCTGATGTGGGGCTCGATCCCAGGACCCTAGGATCATGACCTGAGCCGAAGGCAGAGGCTTTAACCCCCTGAGCCACTCAGGTGCCCCTAGACACATTTCTATTCATGTTCTAAGACTGTATTACGTGTGTGTGTGTGTGTGTGTGTGTGTGTGGCTTTAGAGCTTTATTTGACAATCAGCAGTAAGTTCTTATCCACAATGATTACCTGCAGATTTTTTTTTAAGTGCCAACAGGAACACAGGTAACCAATATACAGACCCTGTTTGGTGAATCTTCATTCTTACTATGTTTTCTGGATAAACACACACAGATATGGTATAGGACATTCCTTATCCCCTTGGCCTGGGCAGATTTGCTGAGCCTGATGACAATGCACACATCTGGAGTTCCCATCTCCTTCATGGCAAATTTCTGGGTCTCTTTGAGTGTCCAAAGGACACACGTCTTCAGGTCCACTCGATGAATGTACTTGTTAATGGTGACAGTGTGTTCTCTGGTCACTACTTCAGTGTTGGCAAAATGGCCCTTCCTCTTCTCACCACCCTTCTTTGCAGCAGCCATGTGCCAGGCCCCAGTTGGAAAGGAAGAACGTAAGGTATTATTGCATTAGCTTTTTTTTTTTTTAATTAAGATTTTATTTATTTATTTGACAGACAGAAATCACAAGTAGGCAGAGAGATAGGAGGAAGCAGGCTCCCCACTTAGCAGAGAGTCCGATGCGGGGCTTGATCCCAGGACCCCGGGATCATGACCTGAGCCGAAGGCAGAGGCTTTAACCCACTGAGCCACCCAGGCGCCCCTGCATTAGCTTTTAAATAACATTATGCTATGTTCTTAACATTCACAGTTACCCCTACCAAATGTCAGGCACTCTTCTAGGTGCTAGAGGATACAGCAGTGAGCAAAATAGATAAAAATCACTGTCCCTCTGGAGGTTATACAGGATTCTAGTCTAAGAATGGGGAGAAGAGACAAATTAAATAAGTAATATACGGGGAGACTGGGTGGCTCAGTTGTTAAGCGACTGTCTTCGGCTCAGGTCATGATCCCAGGGTCCTGGAATCGAGCCCTGCATTGGGCTCCCTGCTTGAAGGGAAGCCTGCTTCTCCCTCTCCCACTCCCCCTACTTGTGTTCATTCTCTCACTGTGTATCTTTCTGTTAAATAAATAAAATCTTAAAAAATAATAAGTTATATGGTGACTCAGGGCTATGGAAATAATGTAGGAAAGGAGATTAGCAATGTTAATAAGAGTTATAAGTTTAAATAGTGTGATTAAGGACTCAATGAAAAGGTGACATTTAAGTAAAGAGAAGAGGTCAGGGAATAAGCCATATCAGAGGGAAGAATATTCCAGGCAAAGCCCTGCAGGTGGAAGCTTTCCCAGAGTGTTTGAGGGACCAGCAAGGAAGCATTAAAGCTAAAGAAAAGTGACAGAGGAGAATAAGTGAAAAATGAGATCAGAGGAGTAACTGGGGGAAGAACAAATTACTTAATGTCCACCATGGACCCTGAATATCTCTGCACGTATTTTCTGAGTATGCTAAACCACAAGGCTTAACTGTCCTCTAATTCTAAGCCACTTTGTAGCTACTCACCTAGGCAATTAATAAATAAGACAAGGTGACCACAACTTGACTACTGTATGACTCCTCGCTTCAAGAGGGTGGGTAAGGAACTGGAAATTTGGGGTTAGAAGGAGATTAGGGTTCAGTTTTGGACAAATTTAAAATCTATTAGATATCTAACTGGAGATGTTAGGTAAGGTAACTGAATATGAATCCACACTTCAAAGAAAAGGCCAAAAAGGGAGATATAAATTTGAAAGTGTAAGAAACTAAATGAGCTGAGCAAGTAAGTTTTTTTTTTAAAGATGATAACCAAGATGTGAGCCCTGGAGCATTCTAACATTGAAAGGTAGGAGGGTTAGGAGGAACTAGCACACAGTAGTTAGGACAGACCCTGAGATAGGAGTAGAACTAGGAGAATGTGATGTCCTGAAAGCAAGTGGTAAAATGGGTTCAGTTCAAGAGCAAGAAAGTAATCAACAATAGCATAGGGGCTGAGAGATCATGTAGAATGAGAAGACTGCTAGATTTAGCAATGTGGAGATAATATGGTCACAAAGTTTAATTCTAGAAGAGTAATGAGGACAAAAGCTATTGAATTTAAGAAAAACTGGGAGGAGATTAACTGTAGACATTAATTGTAGACATTAATTGTAGACACTGTAGACATTGTTCCACTCTAAAGAAACATACATTTATGAATGATGGGAAAATGCATATGCTTAATCCTGTCAAGTACAGTCAATTGACATACTTTGCTCATGAAAAAATAAAATAGTACAACCACTGGAAAGAGCCCTAACACTTTAAATGTATAGGATATACATAAAGACAGATAATATATATCTCTAGAAAGAAATACACCAAAATGTTTTGTGTTGTTTTTTAAGATTTTTATTTACTTATTTGACAGAGACACAATGAGAGAGGGAACACAAACAGGGGGAGTGGAGAGAGAGGCAGGCTTCCTGCTGAGCAGGGGGCCCAATGAAGGGCTCACTCCCAGGACCCTGGGATCATGACGGGAGCAGAAGGCAAATGCTTAACAACTGAGCCACCCAAAAGCCCCTACAACAAAATATTAAAGCAGTGTTATCACAGCATTATGTAATTAAAGCTGACTTGCTCTTTAATACTCCTTACATTCTTCAAATGCTCTACAATGAACATGTTTAACTTTTATAATTAATAGCTTTTTAACTGCCCCAGAAGCTATATCTAAATATTGCTCCTAAGGAAACACCTTCAGGCTGAGAAAACATTTTATGCACCAAAATTTTACCCTAGTTTCTTTAAATAGTAATAGTAACACCCAAGTTTCCAACAACAGGGGATAGTAAAAGTTTAAGGAAATGTATAGTATAGAGCGAGCGAGAGACAGAGCGCACAAGCAGGGCAAGTGGCAAGAGGAAGAGGGAGAAGTAGGCTCTCCAATGAGCAGGGAGCCCAATACGGGGCTCAATCCCAGGACCCTGGGATCATGACCTGAGGGGAAGGCAGACGCCTAACCAACTGAGCCACCCAGGTGCCCCTGTTTTCTTGATTTAGAAGGATGTTAATTAACTGGAAAAGCGTTTATATTAAAATGTTAACTAAATAAAACTGAATATTAGACTAGTCAGATACGTTTCTCTCTTTGCCTTTCTAATCTCTTCTAAAACAACAGTAAAATCATTTTTAAAAAGGAAAAAGATGACAATGAAGCCTAAAGAAAGGAAAAGAAGGGACAAGAGGATTAGTAAAGGACACAAAAACAAAAGATGTCAACAAATTTTATAATTTAGGAAATGTTTTAGTGATTAGCAGAACAGAGAAGGGACAAATTAAAAGACTGGCAGAGTTGGGGATGTACCAAAAAGAAGAGGCAATTTTACTTGATTGAGTTAATGTGTGAAAGCAATTGTCTATTCACATTCTTTCATTTCACAAATATCTCCTAAGTGCCTTCTAATTCTAGGTGCCAGATTCTGTAATATGCATAGACTATAAAAAGTGAAAAAGTCCCTTAAGAAGCTCACCTCCTATCTTCTAGATTTCCATTTTGAAGTGTGTAAAGTAGGCTAACGTATTCTGCCTATCATATAAACCAATACTGTCATTCTGCATTGAACACACCAACTGTTTCTAGCTAATTCTAAAAAGTGATACCAATGGGGCGCCTGGGTGGTTCAGTGGGTTAAGCCTTTGCCTTTGGCTCGGGTCATGGTTTCAGGGTCCTAGGATCGAGCCACACATCTGGCTCTCTGCTCAGCAGGGAGCCTTCTTCCCCCACCTCTCTCTGTCTGCCTCTCTGCCTACTTGTGATCTCTCTGTGTATGTCAAATAACAAATAAAATCTTAAAAAAAAAAAAATGTGATACCAAACGTCACTATACATTTCCTTAGGAGGTCTATAATTATAATAACTCAGATAAACAGACCTCTTTGGCAACCCTTTAGACAACTTTGTACTTATGTTAAAAATTTGCCTATTGGAGTATCTGGAAGGCTCAGTCGGTTGAGCGTCTGCCTTTGGTTCAGGTCATGATCCAGGGGGTCTTGGGATTGAGCCCCACTTTGGGCTCCTTGCTCAGCAAGAAGCCTCCTTCTCCTTCTACCTCTGCCTGCTGCTCCCCCTGCTTGTGCACTCTCTGTCAAATGAATATATCAAATCTTTAAAAAAAATTTTGCCTGGGGTGCCTGGGTGGCTCAGTGGGTTAAAGCCTCTGCCTTCGGCTCAGGTCATGATCCCGGGGTCCTGGGATCGAGCCCCACGTCAGGCTCTCTGCTCAGCAGGGAGCCTGCTTCCCTTCCTCTCTATCTCTGCCTGCCTCTCTGCCTACTTGTGATCTCTGTCAAATAAATAAATAAAACCTTAAAAAATTTTTTTTGCCTATTAACACATTATTTAGTGGTTTTTAGTTTTCACTGCTTTGACTTTGCATGTTTCTAGAGGTATTTCTTTTAGAGAAATACTAAAACTTCAATATTCTGGGGCACCTGGGTGGCTCAGTTGGTTAAGCATCTGCCGTCGACTCAAGTCAGGATCTCAGGGTCCCTGCTCAGCGGGAAGAGTTTGCTTCTCCCTCTCCCCCTAACCCCACTCATTGTTACACATGCATGATCTCTCTCAAATACATAAAATCTTAAAAAAAAAAACTTTAATATTCTATTTTATGAAAAAGTATTACTTACTTCACTCAGCTTTTTATGTGAACCACAATGGGAAATATTTCCACTCAGAATGACCATGACGTTATGGGATTGCTAAAGTGAGCAAGGTTTCCATTAATAACATTAAAATTCATTTGCATCAATGAATTGAAGAAAGTAAACTGACTAAAAAGGTTAAATGACCGGTATTAAGCTCATCTCTAGTCAAAACTAGAAAACATAAGAGAAATAGTTCCTAGCAGCAGAAAACCAAGGAACAGAAATACAGTGATGATTCCCATCTTCCAGATGGATATATGCAACATTTGGATAACATAATGGTGGTCATATGATTAAAAAAAAAAAAAAAAACTACAAGAAAAATAAGAGCCAATCATCCAACTAAGTGGTTCCCCATATTATAACTTAATAGTTAATATCACTCTCCTAATAACAAGGTCCTTCCTACCACAATTTATATCAACATGTAATAAATTAAGTGGTAGTGGTAGTGGTAGTAAATTAAGTGGTAGTAGGATTATCAAGAGCTTTTGCTTAAACCCAAAGGACAACTGAGAGATTTACTAGATTTATAAAGTAGTGGTACACATGCTCACAGTTGGAAGAATATTGTTAAAATGTTCACACCACCTAAAGCAATCTACAGACTCAATGCAATCACTATCAAAACACCAGTAAGACTTTCCATAAAACTAGAATAATTATAAAACTAGTACAGAATCGCAAAAGACCCAAACAATCAAAGCAATCGAGAAAGAACAACAAAGCTGGAGGTATCACAATCCCAGATTTCAAACTATGCTATAAAGCTTCAAATGAAAATACTTTGTTACCGGCACAA